ATCCTGATGAATGGATTTTCTTCTACCGTACTTGTACAGCATCACCCTTAATGCTTTCATACAGTTGCTGCATACAGCAGGGACGTGGCCATTGCCATTTTTTGAGCTCACCCCACCATATGCAGCAACCACAGATTCTCCAATCCAATTGGAAGTTTCACCACCCACTCTATAAGACTACTCCCGCGTATAAGACTACTCCCGCATATAAGACTACTCCCGCGTATAAGACTACTCCCGCGTATAAGATGACCCCGCATATAAGACGACCCCTGACTTTTGAGAAGATTTTCTTGGGTTAAAAAATAGTCTTATACACCAGAATATACTGAAGACTCCAATTCATTATCACAACAGGTTCAGGGGATTGTGTGTGACCACCTTAAGGTCTGTCTGAAATTTCCTATTCTGGACTGGCCCCAGATTGACTGGCCAGTGTAAACATGCCTTAAATGGTTTCTAACCTAAGTGGAGCTGATACTGGCTGAACAAGTGCAGGGTTGAAAAACAGCACTGCAGTGTCATGTGGGGAGGAGAGAGTTCCTACCCAAGAAAATCTGGATATTAAATAATTATTTCCAGAAAGAATTATAAATGTGTATTCTGTTGACCAAGCTCCTAATAGCAGATTGTTCTGAAGAAACAATCCTATAGTTTATTCATCCATGAATCAAAACTATCAGTTGTTCACATAAATGGAGTTGATTTAAAATATATTTCTTTGGGATTAAGCTATTTCTTTTGCAGTATGGCAATGTTTTACTACAGTTTAACTACTTGATCAGGATGCTTTGGTTATATATTTGTGTTTATGGATATAAAGTGTCATGGCTTTCATAGTTTTACAGTTCCGTAAATGCTCAGTTTGCACATTTTTCATTAAATCTAAATGGCATCTAATTTGGTAGGATGGAGGATGATGGTTTGGTGCAAAAGAATTAAAATATCATACAAATCTGAAATGGAGCCCTTCTGATACAATGGAAAGAAAGGATGTGATGCTAACCGCTGATATAAATATGGGTAAAATAAGAATCATCCTGCTCTAGGAAGAAGGGTCATAAATGACCTGCAAGCATGACATGTTTCCATATGACAACTGGAATTTTCAGACTACCATAGGGAGGGGATGAAAGAATATTATTTGTGTTTAATGCATGTGGGTATGTGAATGATACTAGCAAATCTAAAATATTTATCTATGAAGGCAGTGTACAATAGACATAAAATAGAGTAGGACACATTAATGCAATAAACTCATAAACCATTATAGTAAAAATAACACATCTAGAGCTATTAAAAAAACAAAATGCACTGAGCAATCTAGATATAAACCAACTTGTAAAATATTCAAGCAAATAAGTATGTTTTAACCTTGTGTACAGCGATAAGGAGATGCTAGAGTTTGGTGACACCATAGGAAATGTATCCTGCCAAGTTTTTGCACAATATAGTTGTTGCCCAGAGAAAAAACCCTTTTATTTTATTGTGTAGGCAAATTCATTATTTCACAATATAACAGATTTCATACATATCGATGTGAGCTCTTAAGTTGTTTCTGACATCTGGTGACCCTAAGGAAAGCAAATCACTTTTCTTGATAAAATTTGTTCAGCAAACAGTTGTCTTTGCCTTCTAAGGCTGAGAGAGCATGACTTCTTCCAAAGCTGAGACTGTACATGATGTGGAGAAAACAGATAGAGATAAATATTTTCTTCCTATCTCAAAATGTCAGAACCTAGTACCACCGAATGAAGATGAAAGAGGTACTTCATAATGCAATATCAAACTATAGGATCTTAAAAAGATGCTGGAGAAAGTTATGCAAGGTAAAATTATTGATGACTATTAGTCATGAAGAGCCCCCGGTGGCGCAGTGAGTTAAAGCACTGAGCTGCTGAGCTTATTGATCGAAAGGTCGCAGGTTCGATTCCGGGGAGCGGCGTGAGCTTCCGCTGTCAGCCCTAGCTTCTGCCAACCTAGCAGTTCGAAAACATGCAAATGTGAGTAGATCAATAGGTACCGCTCACATGCCGGCCACATGACCTTGGAGGTGTCTATGGACAACGCCGGCTCTTCGGCTTAGAAATGGAGATGAGCACTACACCCCAGAGTCAGACATGACTGGACTTAATGTCAGGGGACTACCTTTACCTTTATTAGTCATGACAACTATATTATTGCCTATCATTACAGGTAGTATGCCTCCAAGTTCAATTAGTGTCATGCTGCCAATATCAGAGATAATCACATTTTCTGGAAATATTGAGTGGGAGGACACTGTTGTTTCTCCCCCCCCCCCCCATATCCTACATATGGGTCTCCTTTGTAATCCACAAGGCCATTTGTGCTACACAATACTGGGCATATGTATAGACAAATGTAAAGTTTTAATACAATTTTAAAATGCTGGTCTCAATGTACCTTTCCTTTTCTTATGTTGGAATTCTAGCATGTTGTAACTGCTTCAGAGAAGATTATGCCCTAGTGATTGCTTGCCTCTTTTACCTCTTTCCTATATCTTTTCTATGCTCTTTGCCTTTTGTCAGTTTTGCAATTATGCTGGCACACTATGCTGGGTAAAGAATGGTTATTGCTTATGTATATGTAATGCCTATAGTGATCTTTGACTGTGCATACAATGCAATACCAGGAAGACTTTAAGCTGGTCCAAATCCCAAACTGCAGTAAAACAGAGAAGAGTAAATATATCTGGAAATATGTGATTCTGCAATGTGTCCTACGGGTACATAGAAATTAACACTACATTCTTTCATCAACCAAGGAGCCCCAGTGGCACAAGAGGTTAAACCCTTGTGCCAGCAGGACTGAAGACTGACAGGTCTGAGGTTCAAATCTGGGGAGAGCATGGGTGAGCTCTCTCTGTGGGTACATGAGAGAAGGATGTTTTACCATCTCACAAGGATAGTAAAACATCAAAAACATCTGCGAGTTCCCTTGGCAATGTCCTTGCAGACAGCCAGTTCTCTCACACCACAAGCAACTTGCAGTTTCTCAAGTTGCTCCTGACACACACACACACACACACAAATCATCCATGGTTATTTAAAGAGCAATGCACAACTAAATGGTTCTTGGGTCCTTCAACACTGCCATATAATCCAGATGATTAATATAGATAATCAACATTATTTGCTTTGAACAGAATTAAATGAGTCTATACTGCCATATAATCCAGTTCAAAGCAGATAATCTGGATTTTATATGGCAGTGTGGATGGGCCCTTAGAATAAATCAGGCCTGAACTCTTGCTAGAAACCAAAATGACTAAACTGAGTCTTTGACTAAATTGTGCTCCAGCCATACTAAGAGAGGAGATTACTCACTAGAAAATATGATAATGCTTGGTAAAGTGGAGGGCAGTAGGAAAAGAGGAATACTGACATAGAAGTGGATAGACTAAATCAGAGAAGGCACAGCCCCAAATGTTCAAAACTTGATCAGGGGTATTGCGCAGAGGGTAACTTGAATGTCTCCCATTCATAGGGTCTCCATAAGTCCAGATCAACATGAAGGCAGTTAACAAGAAATATACCTGAACTCATGATTTTCCCCCCCTCTGGTTTATCTTAAACTTCCCAATTCAGTGTATTTTTCCTCCAGTGTCTATGTAAAAGCATTTGATAAGTTAATGCCGTTTTATATTAAGCAAGCTCCAGCTGGTTATTTAGAGTATTGCTCCCCCCATCCCTCCATTTAGTTCACTCATCAGTGTGGTATTTATAAAAGCCTTTACAAACATAGAAGAAAAATATATCACATCATTTGCTGACATAAAAGGTTAATCATGGAGAGGGAACAGGTTTGTGGAATAGAACATGTCTGGGTCTCTTATTATAAAACTAAGAAAATCTGCCAAAAATCTCAGTTCTAATGTATGTGTCTAGTCTTTCCTCTATGAGAGCAGGTGCTCCATAAACATAATACCATTACAGCTAAGAATAGGGAGAAATTTGTTTTTTATTGTTTTTGATATGAATTTATCAGAAGAAGTAAGACTATTCATACTCAGGATGGGAACAGCATGGGATTCTTTACAAATGGATGCAGAAGAAACTAAAATGTAGAAGAAATCCATCCATGCCTCCTGGCCAAGGATATTGTGTGCATAATTCTTAGAATGAGGATTTAAATTTCTACTTCTTTAGCCATGTTAGGGTGGAAAACAGGTTACCAACTTTTCTTTTCAGAAGGTCTCCCCATTTCATACATTTATTTATGCAGCAGGAAGGTACAATATGGTCATGCCTGATCTAAATATTGCTGTTTCTCCTTAGGGTTCTTCCAGACAGGCCCAAAATGCGGGACCTGTCTCACTTTTACCTGAGGTACCAAAACAATTCTTCAGGTAAATGAGAATTAATGCAGAGTAAACCAAGTTTTCTCAGTTTACTCAACATTATTTAAACACTTCTAAAGATCTGGACTTTAAGCTAAGGTCTGGGTCTTTAGAGGTAAGGGCCCTGTGGGGACTGACTCCTGGAATGGTTTTTTGTCATCCTACTTCTTTGGGCTCCCCAAAGTCCAGAAGAGGGGATGGTTCCCCCTCCTCTACCCATGGAAAATGGCACATCAGGAGAGGGAGCTGAGGACTGGAGCAGGGAGGAGGACTGGAGTCGCAACAGGGCTGTAGAAATTGGCTTGATCTGCTGGTAGACATCTCTGGTACATTTTGGGGAGTGAAAAGAGGAGATGGGTGGTATCCCGAGGCAACTTTTGGTCATCCCAGGAAAGCCTCGGGTTTGGGTTGGGGGTGGGGACTAGAACTCAAGAGGAAGTGGGATTTTTTAACCAGCTTCCTCTCGGGTTTTAGGATAGTGTAGAAGGGCCCTGAGCTTGACCGAAGCAAAAAGGAAATTATTTGAGTTCAATTTCTTTTTGGAGACATTATACTATTTTCAAATTCAAGATCCAAGATTAGAAAGACCAGTTTTTTAAAATTTTAGATTGTGGGACAAAGCAAAACTCAAAATGCTTACCCCTGTTAGTGCCCAGATTCTTCTGTGAGTCAATGCATAGAGGGATATTGTTCAGGAGAATCCCAGCATAGCTCTGAAACAGCAGCAGCTGTTCTGAAATGTGTTAAGTCAGTTTGTTTTCACTTTCCTGTTCTTTGGCAAACTTTGAAGCAGAGCAAATATTACCTTTGCACCCATGGGATTGCAGTATGGGGGAAAAGGACAAAACTCAATGACAAAAGAAACTCATCCATCCTTTTGGATAATTGTTGAATCCTGCCAATTGAGGAAAGCAGCAGGAATACTTCAGAGACGGGCAGAGCCTAATTGGTTTTTGATTTTATGGGCTTTATTATCCCTTTTCGGGTAACTGGGGATACAGGAAGCTAATCAGAGCTTTTGTAAAAGTGATTCTATAAAGTAGAGATGAGATCGGCAACATCTTATGGTTACTAAGTGGGTGATTTTTATGTTACAGGAATACCTCTATACATATGATTCAGCATTGGCCATTAAACTTAACACTCTGGGTCATGGATGTTCAGACTAAATGCCTACAGGACTTGCTTTGTTTTGTACTAGAACAGTTAGATGCACCAGGTACAAAAGCATGGCTGTGGATCGTAACATAAAATCTGGTAACAGGGAACTCTGAGAACATGCTTAGAAGTTGTCTTCATTCACACTGATTCACAATCTTGTCACTCCAAAATCCATTCCTTGCCAAATTTTATTCCATCTCGGTAACTTGATTTTGAAGTGGGATATTGGACTGGTAGGTATTTTAACACTATGAAAAGGTTGGGAATCAGACACTTGCTGATCTTTTGCAATTCACACATATATCAATCAATGTCAATATAAGGCAATAGATCCCAATTGGCTTTTTGTTCTTTCTTTTATTACATTCTGTCTTGAGAAAAGGATATTCAGATGGAACAGAAAAGTACACTTTACTGGCAACCACAGGTGTCGAGGGTCTGTATATTGAGAGGAAGCCAGCCTGGCAATAATTTCTATTATTATGGGGGGGGGGGGAGAGTAAGGATAAACTGGAGAACAACATCAAGGATTGTTATAGAAGCTTTGTTCCATTGTATTTATGTGTARATTTCCCAAATCCCAACAACATTGAGTCTCTTCTGTACTTACATTGCACATGAATTGTGATTCAATTGTCTCTTTTCATTGATTGGAGGGGGATACTGATGATTTCAATATTGTTGCTTTTGTGTTGCTCTTTCCTGTTGAATAATATTGTTCTTCTGCAATCCCAATATTGAAAAGCAGAGGGAGGTCTTGCAAGGATGCTGAAAATGTGTGACTGTTAATTATGGAAAAATAGGGGTAAAAAGTGTGCTGTGGTAGGAAAAAACATGAGTGACAGCAACGCACAATTGTGTGAGAGCAATTGTTCTCATAATAATGTTTCCCTTTATTTGGAGAACAAAATTGTAATAAAACAACAGGCTGGTGTGGTAAAGTCTTTAAGTCCCGTCTCTAGAATATCTTGCTTGTTTATTAAAGCTAGGACTATGAGAGTTAGAGAGGCTGATACATTTTATTGTACTCAATTTAACGTAGCATATCATATCAAGAACTACATGTCAGAGAGTCCTTGTATATAGGCAGGAAGAAAGGAATCCTTGTGGGAAGAGTAAGACAAAACACTATAAAGCCATAAGAGCAGATGTATCAAGTTAGTGCCTAATGCACTTGCAGTCACAGTTTCAATGCCAATTTGAACAGATCCAAAACAACCAGCATTTGTTTTATAGTCAGTTCAGTGCTAAAACCTTAGAACTTGAAGAACCAGGAGAAGCTTCTAAATATTTCAAAAGACCCACAGTTCTGTCAGAGAATTTTTTTTCTTCTGAAATTTTGAATAAGTGGAAAACTCTTTATCAAATTTTGTGAATGAATATGAATCACCTCCAATTATATAATTAATGTGATGTACAAGAAACAACCACCCTTTCTTTCTTTCTTTCTTTCTTTCTTTCTTTCTTTCTTTCTTTCTTTCTACTTTATACAGTGTCAATTACTATGGCAGAACCTGGGAAAGGTTTTCACAAATTAGCATCTTCTACATTGGGGCAAGAACACTTCCACCATTTAGTGTTGGCTTGTCTGAGTGTGAACCTGCAAGAGAAATTGACTTGGTAGGTGAGTTATGATTTTTCAATGAAAAGAGAAAGCTTTAAAAGAGAAAGCTTTAAAATGGATGGGATTGATAATTGCAGCCACATATTTCCATTAGAATGCTTAAAAATAAAAAAAACCAACAGGACCATCTCTTTTTTAACAAGACTACTAAATTACTACATAGTTAGCAAATATATCAAAGTCCCTGCCTGGGTGTTATTATTACACAAAATGGCAAACATAAGGGTTTTTTGTTTTTTTTGTTTGTTTTTTTTAAAAAAAGGAAATGAAAGACTTCATCTCACAAGGGAGGAGAGTTAGAGGGGTGGGAAATCATCTTCTTTGTATGTGGAATCGTCTTCTTTGCATGCCGTTTCATGGGATACCATTTTCAAAGAAGATGGAGAATTTACTTACCCCCATCACACAGGATGGCCTCCTCCCACTCCTAGCTCAACCATCCACTTAGAGGAGGCAGAAGGCATTGTTCTGAAGACTCCACTTCTACTGGGTCCTTTGCCTCCCCAGCCCCTTACTCTAGAGATGACAAGCACTCTTTTTAAAACACATCTTTCAATGGGACCCACACTGTCTTTAAACTATTCATGCACAAAAGGATCATGGACGGGCACTTCACAAAATAGAGTGTAATGAAGAAATCCATCACTTTTCTGTCTCAAGGAAAGATGCCCATTGTTAGCTATTTCTACACACAAGCAATGGAGTGGAGTCAATTTGTGCCCAGCTTAGAAATCCTCCCATTTCTAAACACTGCAGAGACAGAATCCCATGCTGGAAGATAAGCACCCACTGGAATTAGTCCTGCAACATTTGTTAGGCTCTGTGGGATTCCATCTTTGAACCATCTTTGAAGTGTGTAGAAACAGAGGAGAAAAGCCATCTGATGAAGTCGGTAAAGTATATAGTAACAACTTCAGCATTTTTAAATAAATCATGTGACTAAAAATATATCAGGAAGTATGCATATGAAAAGGACATGTGTTACAATCACATCAATATTTTATTCATGAGATTTATAGCCCTCTTTCCCATCACCCACAAAATACTTGACATGAAATTTGTTCAGGAACTATCTTGTTTTGCTTCAGGACCTACTTTGACCCTTTCTTCAGCAATGGTTATTTTTCCTTCCTCTGCCAGAGACTTAAATACATATATTTTATGGATTTTTCCATATAATGTATAGAGACACTTTATATAACAATGGAGTTCCAGGTGATATCTTGGTAGCTATGGTGTTAAAATAGCTGCTGTGGTTTGCCCTAGTTAAGAGGATTGGGCTTCTTGTTTGTTGACAGATTTTTTAAATGATAAATGTTTGCAATCAGGTGTGGATATGCACATTAGTCAATAGAATAAGCATGACCTCTGTAAAACTGACCAGAACCTAAGACAGGTCATTAATCAGTGGTATCCAATTTTCCTCGATGATAGTTGAATGCCTAACAAACTGTTCTATTCAGTTTCTAATTCTTCCTGCCCACTTGTACCTTGGGTTATTTATTTATTTATTTATTTATTTATTTACATCACTTATATCCCGCCCATATCAGCCCGCAGGCGACTCAGGGCGGTCTACATATCGGCACAAATCGATGCCATCAATACAATACAAAAGCAAAAACAGTTAAGTGCAATTATACAAAAAAGACAGTGCAATGACAATTTAAAAAGAGCTATATCCTGTTTACCTGTGTGTGTTGTCCACACTATTTGCCAAATTGATCCATGGGAAACTTCAAGATATCTTTAATGGAGGAGCCAGACTAGATGTCCTTTAGATATAATCCAACTGAATAACATACTCTCAATGAAATTTCTTTCATATGTCCTGGCTCTTCAAGATTTTGTTATTTTACAAAGAGTATATAAAGATTGTCAATAATGTAAAGAAAAGATACTGCACTCTTTGTTCTTGCTCTTTGTGTGATTGAAGGCAATGTTGAGTGAAGGTACAATTGAAAGAAATTGTGTTATAAAAAAAGAGAGAGAATATAATTTGCAAAAGAAACCTGGCACAAGGAAACATATTTCGGCATAAAATGTTGATGGAGTCCCAGGAGCCCTCATAGCTTTGGATAAGTTTGTCTGGTAATGACAATGTATATGAGTGAATTTTAATTAAATTAGTGGAATCACACTGTGCTATGGCAGCACACTACAGATTTTAAGCCAACTATTTTCTCTCTTCTGGAAGCAAGATTCCTTTTCATGAGCAGCATGCAAATAGAAGAGAAAAATAGTAACAGGAGTCACATAAATTGCTCAAAACATTAGGTTTAGTAGTAATAGTCTATAACTAATGTTTGTTGTTTATTCATTCAGTTACTTCCAACTCTTTGTGACCTCAAGGACCAGCCCATGTCAGAGCTCCCTGTCAGCCATCGCCACCCTCAACTCCTTTAAGGTCAAGCCACTCACTTCAAGGATACCATCCATCTTGTCCTTAGTTGGCCTCTCTTCCCTTTTCCTTCCATTTTCCCCATCATCATTATCTTCTTCAAGCTTTCCTGTCTTCTCATTATGTGGCTAAAAAACTTCATCTTTGCCTCTAATATCCTTTCTTCCACTGAGCAGCCGGGCATTCTTTCCTGAAGTATGGACTAGTTTGATCTTCTTATGGTCCAAGGCACTCTCAGAATTTTCCCCCAACACCACCGTTCAAAAGCATCTATCTTCTGCCTTCCTTATGGTCCAGCTCTCACATCAATAGGTTACTATGGGGAATGCTATTGCTTTAACTATGCAGATCTTCGTTGCCAGTGTGATGTCTCTACTCTTCATTATTTTATCAATATTGGTCATTGCTCTCCTCCCAAGAAGTAAATGTCTTCTTATTTCCTGGCTGCAGTCTGCATCTGCAGTAATCTTTGCTCCTAGAAATACAAAGTCTATCACTACTTCCAAATGTTCTCCTTCTATTTGCTAGTTATCAATCAGTTATCAAGTGCCATAATCTTGTTTTT